CTAATTGAAGAAAAAATGTAACCTTTCGAATTTTTTTAGGTTTAATCAGATAAATAGTTAGAAACAGATAACATTTTCCTTGCCATTGTTTCATTATATTGCAGGGATTAATTACTGTTTTCGATGTAGAACGGATTCACAGGTTTTGCCGTAAAATATGTCATTGTGAATGAAAAAAAAGACGTATCAGACAGTACAACTATATCTGAAGTAGTTGGTCTTATATGAATGTTTGCTTTACATATCACTTTGTTGATTCTGAGTTCATTCTTGTGCACCTTACTTTTTACGTAAACTTTAATAAAGGAACGATACACAGGTGCAACACGCTTTGTGCCAGTAGGCTGGCAAATGCTGAATCTTACACCTGTATTGGTCATGTTTTTCATAATTTTGTTCTGCACGATGGAATAAAGTGCAGTAGACCCATGTTCTGATTTTTAAGCGTAAAGATGTATTTTTCGAATTGAAATATAAATCTGCACAACTTGAAAAACAGATTACAAAAACTAATCTAGGAGTTTTATTACAAATCGGTCAGTCAGCAACTCAAATAGAAGAAAACGAAAATGAACCGACGAAGAGTGATCATATAGATATAATGAGAACTGAGAATCATATAAACAGCATTACAATCCACCACTTTAGAGCGCAGTATACTAACTCGTTGGCACAGTACTACCCAAGATAAAAAGTCTGCTTGATAATACGTTGGTGTAAAATATTTTATTGAAAAGTGTGTAAAATAGAAGTCTTTGTTTTTTACTAGTAGGATATCATAACAAAAAATAGCATAAGATAATTTAAACCAGCTATGAAAGACATGGAAGCATTCTCATATCTCACAGAAAATTTAATGCTATTATTTAAAGCTGAAATACGAAGTGTACTCGAGTCAGATACAACTACTTAAGATTTAAACGTAGCAATAAGAGAAAAATTCGAAAGAAGATTCCCTATTGACTGTAATAGCCTGTTCTTGCCTCCCGAACCCTCATTTTAAATACCTTTAGTATGAATAACGGAATCAACAATAAAATATTGGATAAAAGCACAGTTAAACAATTTTTAATGCTTTTTATCTTACGTGTTTTATTGAAATTCATTTTGACAGTTATTAGACTATTCTGGTGTATATTATTTCTCAGTTTCTCGAATTACTGAAGCGCGTGCACCCGTGAGGATAATAAAATTTCGTGTTTTATATTAGTGTATATTTTTGATGCGTTTCAAAAGGGAGATTTTAATTACAGTAGTTTTTCTTTTGATGCGAAACCAGATTTTTATATTTTGTTATTGAGAATCGATAACTCAATTTATACAAATGGGGCTTGAGTGAAATTTTTCTTTTGGATGTTTTTGTGGAAAAGAGAACGGCCATTGAAAAAAAAGCAAAGGGAAATTAACTATCTTTTTAAGAATAAAATTAAATTTAACGAAATGCATTCTTTTACACCTCTAGACAATAAGATTTTACACAGTCGTAATTACATTATGGGTCCATGATATGTTCGAAAACCGGTGAATCGTGATGCTTGCAGACACAAATACCAGATAAAAAATTTTGGCAGAGTATAAGAGACGTTTCAGGCTTAAATAGGTACAGTGAATAATTGTTGGAATTTAGTCTTTGAAAGGATTTATCTGAAGTAGTAAATATTCCTAACTTAGATCGTTCGACTCCTTTGGATCGATTCGTAGGGAACAGCAAAAATTCATTGAAGCTGAGAGAAAAAAGTTCTAACTCATCTTCATGTCTCTCCAATTATTTTGAGAGCCTTCCCAGACTTCTTTCGGAAACTTCCCTTGTCGGACAGACGAGTTACCTTCTTTCAGTTGGCTGTTTGAATTACAACCAAAATTCTCAGGGAACAATGAGAAGCTTTTCGCACAGACTCTTTATCTCTCTCTAAATTTAACTTACATTTCATATGTTTCTGAGTTTTAATTTCGATCAGTTGTGTGTAGTCGTGCTGGAGCTATTCGGAGCGCCGCTTCAGAACGTTTTTGAACACCAGAACAGGACTCTGAATCTCTTTTATTTACGACTACACTCTTGATCTCGACCAAAAAGTCCGATTTCAAAATATAAACAAAAGGTTAATTTAACCGTTTTTCATACAACTTCACAATTTTAACTTGATTCTATATTTATGCTATTTTTATTTTTCAAAATTTCTAAATAAAGCACGATATATTTAATCCATTTAATGTTTTATATTTGTATATGATTTTTGAGAAAGTGACAGAACTTTATTTGATAACATTATTTTGAAATACTTTCGAAATTTCTGTCGGGTGTTCTTAGTTCGTGGAAAATTTTATCTTTAAAAGTTTGATAAAATGTTCACACATTAAGCCACAAAGCCACGTCAAGACGACACCCATTTTGTGGTAGTTTTTTATTTTCCAGAAACTAACCCTGATTGCTAGACAGAATAACAATCAGAGAATAAAACTGGATATTCATTGCTATT